ATCCGTCTTTCCCGTTTTCCAGTGAATAAGAAGAGGAAGAGAAAAGCAGCAGAATTAGCGCTGCACAAATTTCAGTCTCTTTCGCGTCTCTCTCTCTCTCTCTCTCTCCATTGACAGGAGCTTTGAGCTCAGAGATAATAATTGGCATCAAAGAGCCTCGTTCGTGATCTAGGGATGACGAAGAAGGACGACATCGGCGATGGCAAGGCACCGCCGACGCCGCGTGCTTGAATCACTGATGGCTCAGATCAGGGTTCGTCTGCGCGTCTGGTGCGCGACACTGGCGGCACGGCATGGCCGATGCTGATGAGGACCAACTACACTGACTGGGTTGTCCTCATGCAGGTCATGATGGAGGGACGACACCATATTTGGGCCTAAGGTAATGCATTGTGGAGTAATTATTAGATGATGGGTTGCTAGAGTGACAAAAGCTTAAACCCTAGTTTATGCGCTACTTCGTAAGGGAGTGATTTGGATCCAAAAGTTTAATGCTATGTTTAGATGTATGTCTTAATACTTTTCTCGTAGTTGTGGATGCTTGCAAGGGGGTTAATCATAAGTAGGAGGTTTGTTCAAGTAAGAACAGCACCTAAGCTTCGGTCTTCCCACATATCAAATTATCAAAGTATCGAACATGAAGCAAGGTAGCATGGTGAAAGTGACTAGATGAAATTCCTGTGTGCCCTCGAGAACGCTTTTTCCTATTATAAGAAACCACTTTGGCATGTCCTTTGCCATAATTAAAAGGATTGGGCTACCTTGCTGCACTTATTGTTACTCTTGCTACTCGTTCTTGTTACAACTATCCTACTATCAAAGAACTTGTTACCGCTATTTCAGTGCCTGCAGAAACTTCCTTGCTAAAAATCAATTGTGATTTCCTTCTGCTACTCGTTGGGTTCGACACTCTTAATTATAGAAAGGACTACGATTGATCCCCTATACTTGTGGGTCATCAAGTGTCAAATGAGCCGTCAAGTGTGCTCAAAAGCTTCTTCACAACTTCATGCTTAGTGATCTCATGGGTGCCAAGAGCACGAAGCTCATTTGTGATATCAGTAAGACGATCAAAGGTGTTTTGGACATTTTCATTGTCAAGCCTTTTGAAGTGGTTGAAAAGATTGCGAAGCACATCAATTCTTGAGTCTCTCTGAGTTGAGATGCCTTCATTAACCTTGGACAGCCAGTCCCAGACTAGATTTACAGATTCCAGAGCACTAAGACGACCATACTGCCCTTTGGTCAGATGACCACATATGATGTTCTTGGCGGTTGAGCCAAGTTGAGCAAGTCTCTTCACATCAGCGGGGGTGACACTTCACCAGCCTTGGGGACACTAGTCTTTACGACATACCAAACATCATTATCAATGGCTTCAAGATGCATGCACATCTTATTCTTCTAGTAGGGGTAATTAGTGCCATCGAAGACGGGGCACGCAACGGAGACTTTGACTATCCCTGCAGTCGACATAGCTAAAACTCCAGGTGGTTAAACCGAATCACACAGAACAAGGGAGCACCTTGCTCTGATACCAATTGAAAGAGCTGGTTATCGACTAGAGGGGGTGAATAGGTGATTTTTATGAACATCTTCAAACAACACAAAGTCGTTGAAGACAGACAGATAAACTGCACCTAATCAGATCACAGTGGAAGGTAGACCACACTAGACATGTCATGATCATGTAAATAGCACAGCTAAAGCATGAAGCCTATAGACATCTAGGAAGCAGAGGATCAGTACAGGAAGACAGTGTGAAGCCAAATGAGTAATCAGGGTAAAAGTCTTCACACGGTGAAGCCAAACAAGAGACAAGCAATGACTTCAAGAGGTGCAACTAAGAGTAAGAGGGAAGGGATAGAACCAGGTGCTCGATGAAGACAATGATTTGGTAGACCAGTTCCAGTTGCTATGAAAATTATACGTCTGGTTAGGGTGGCTTGGTATTTAAACCAAAGGACACACAGTCCTTACCGTATTTTCCTTGAGCTAAGGTCACACAGACCTCGCCCAACACTAGGGTAAGTCTTCAAGGTAGACTTCCAAACCTTCACAAACTATGTTCACTAGCGATCCACAAAGCTCTTGGATCCTTAGAACGTGATGCCTAACCGACTGGAAGATACACAGTCTTCAAGTGTAATAAGTCTTCGGGTCATGCAGACAGAAAGACTTCAGTGATGCCAACACTCTTTAGGCTTTGGGTGTTTTGCTGTTTAGGGATTTGTCCTTGCAAGGATTCTCTCTCAAGGCTTCGGAGGTGGGTTGCTCTCAAATGACAAAAGCCGTGTACTAACTCTGAGCAGCCAGCAATTTATGGTGGAGGGGATGGGCTATTTATAGCCAATGGGCAACCTGGCATGATATGTCTAAGATGACCCTGAGTCACTAAGGAACTCACACGTGTCCAACGGTCTGATCCCAGACACACGCGGCAACTAAACTTGGGCTACAAGTAAAGCTGACTCATCCACCCTGAATAAGATTTGCTCTCGTTTTTCTTTGCTGGAAGACATAGGATTTGGGTTTAGCAGCACGTCAGTTTTCTGAAATTATTTACCTGGACTCCACTTAACAGTTCGGTGGTTCCTATGACTCAAGAAAGAGGAAATGAACCTATGAAAGAACTATGTCTTCACACTCCATTGTCTTCAAGTGAATGTCTTCACACGTCATAGTCTTCAAGTGAAAGTCTTCATGAACCACCATTATCTTCAATGTCTTCATACATTTTTAGGGGTCATCTCTGGTAGGTAAACCGAATCAATGAGGGACTTCTCCATGTGTTCTCCTGCAATTCTCATGAACACATTAGTCCCTCAACCACGTTTGTCGTCAATACTCCAAAACCAACTAGGGGTGGCACTAGATGCACTTACACGCCTTGGCGAGAGTATGCCGGACATCCTCCCACTTTTCGTACTTCTCGATCCAAGAGAACACGTGGCGGCGGCGTGGGGGCCGAATACTTCTTCGGCGGCATGGTGTGGTGGCGGCCGGATGGCGGGGGGAGAGAGGAGAATGGCGGGGAAGCAAAGGGAAAATGGAGGGAAAAGGTGAGGAATGGCGGGAAAAGGGCTGGCTCTCACTGACAAAGCGGACCCACGCGCCTTTTCACTTCAGTCGGCGCCCCCAGGCGACCACCGGGGGGATGGGTTCGGCTCGGGTTCGCCGGCTGTTGTTTCGGCCCAAACAGGCGAAAAAGAGGACCTAGGGGCGCGACTGGGCCGATTTTTGGCTACCAGCGGTAAAAAAGAGCCCTGGGGGCATGTTGGGGGGGGGGCAGTGTGTATGCTCTTACCCCTTTGTAAACATAAATCATTTATATCTTCTTAACCAATGTTTCAATTTTGTTTTATTTTATAACCTGTGGCGCAAAGACCTTTGGAACAAGACCATTGTTGAATATATTCGAAATAGTTTGAATTTTTTTATTGAAATATGTAATTGAAACGACTCAAACAATAAAAATGAAAAGTTCTTCATTATTTCCAGCAAAGTTCAGACAAGCTGTTTATATAGCTCTTCAGTTCCAAATAGATTTCCTAGCAAAGTTCTTTAATATTTCTAACAAAGTGCAGACCTAGTATTCAGAAAGTTCTTCAACACCTGATTCTTTTTATTTAACATTTTAAAATAAAAAGGAAAAGTTCATCACTGTTTACAGCAAACTCCACAAATTTTAAGTTAAAGTTCTAGTAGGCCCCAACTTCATGGTAAAGTTCCTTAGATAAAGAATAGATTGGCAGAAGGGTGTGTACATGGTGCTTCACACAATTTTATACTGGTGGGTATTTATCAAAAAGACAGAAAAAAAGAGGCATGCAACATTGCAGGGGAGAGAAGAGGGCCTTCACATAATCACGTGGGTGGAGGGACCAGTAGGGTCGTAGGAGGACAGAAAAGGATTTCTTGCATGGGGTCGGTGGGCCAGCCGGAGTGGATCGAGAGGTGTGCATGCGGAGAGGATTGGCGTTTTGTGTGCACTGCATTAGGCTGGTCATAGTGGGGGTACCATAGCTGATATTATGCACTTGGGAATAGCAAACATGATGATGTGGTGGAGAATTAAAGAAGAGAGATAGGGTTAGAGAAACATAGGTAGATATCGTAACATAATAAATGTTATACTACTTTGTGTCATGCATGATTAAAAATAAAGTCGTCTAAAATACTACTCTATGATACTATGCACTATGAAGATAGTATCATATGCATAATACTGAGTAGCCTTAGGTGGTGTTTGATTCTCTAGTCCTAGGACTTTTCCTAGTCCCAACTAAAAAGTCTCTAGTCCCTAAAAAGTCCCTCCTTGTTTGTTTCCAGAGACTAAAAAGTCCATAATCCCTTCCTAGAGGTTATTAAATGACCATGTTGCCCCTAGTATATAGAAAAATAACAATCAAACAACACCATGGGGTGGCGGACCAATGGGTGCATGGAGGGGCATTGTTGGAAAAGTCCCAAAAAGTCCCAAAAAGACTCTCCTTGAGAGTCTTCTTCATTTAGTCCCAAATGCCTAGTTTAGTCCCTAAAAGTCCCTCCCGTTTGATAAAAAAGTCTCTAAGAGGGATTTTTTCTAGTCTCTACACAAAAAAGTCCCGGGAAACAAACACCCCCTTAGACATGGCTATATTGACATTTGATTGCGTGTCCGTGCTGTGTTCGAGAACGAAGAGCCATCTTTGATTGTAGTACTGTCTTTCGTGCAAGGACACACCTATCGCAACGAAGAGCCCAGTCTCTCGAAGGTGCTCATAGAAGTAGGGTGTGCGTGTGTGCGTTCATAGAGGTGAGTGTATGCGTGTATGTATGAGTGCTTGCATATGTACTTTGTAAAAAAAGTTGGGACAAGTGGACAATATCATTTTATTTTATTTATTATTTTTCGTAAACTTAACACGATACACGTTTCTTTTTTTTCACCCATGATTATAAACACGTCACATCACCGAGACGCACAATTTTAGCCATAGAGACCGAAATTAAGAGTCTCAAATGGAATCTATCATTTTGGCAGCGGGAAGAGGAGGGATGCTCTGCTCATTTCTGAAGAAATCATGGGGATCCACCATGGTCTTCACGGCTGCCAGCCTCTTAAAATTTCCTTTGAAATACTTGTCTCCCCAGCTGACTCTAGCCTTGTCATAGCTCGTCACGTCACCGTCCAACTCATTCGTCCCCAGGTCAAGGTCCCTGTAGTTGACGTACACAGCCCTTGGGTTGCTGGACACGTAAGGCTCCATCTCCTTGTACAGTCCCCTGACCCAGCTCATTCGCTTCTCCGCTGCTGCCGTCCCGTTCTCGTACCAGAAGGAGTAGTACTGGAGCTGGTAAAGGTTCCCCTGCCGGTGCGGGAACGGCGTCTCCGACGGCGAGATGCTGCTCATCAAGCCACCGTAAGGGTCCAGCATGAGCAGCGCGGCCTCGGGCTTCTCCAGCCACGCCGTCCATATGCTCTCCCACACGTCCCTTGGAATCGGCTCCTGCACGTGGTCGACTTGGCCTTGAGATAGTAGCTCGGGTTGCTGCTCCTGTTGAGGAGCTGCTCCGGTGGTACGGACGTCGTGGAGAAGCCGAAGAAGACCGTGGACTGCACCCAGCTCACCTCCTCGCAGTCTTGCTCCGTCATTCCGAGCTCGGGGAAGCGATCTTGCATGAGCCGATGGAGGCCGCCGCACCGGCCGAGAAACAACGCCTGGAAATTAGCCTGCTGGTTCAGCACGAGCACGCGGAGGTACAGCTCCTGCGGTGAAGCCGGCGCCATCTCTTGCCATTTTGTAATCAGTTCGATGGCGGATTGGCTCCTTGACCTTACGATGCTGAACACCGTGACGGTCTCCGGCACGGGGACTAGCCGCACCTTCCACGACAGCACCACGCCGAAGCTCTCGCCGCCTCCGCCACAGAGAGCCCAGAAGTGGTCCTCCCCCATGGTGCTCCTGTTCATCAGCCTTCCGTCGGTGTCCACGACGAGGGCGTCGAGGACGTTGTCGGCGGAGAGGCCGTACTTGCGTGCCAGCGAGCCAAACCCGCCACCGCTAAGGTGGCCGCCGATGCCCATGGTGGGGCAAGAGCCCGCCGGGAACCCCAGCGAGTGGCTGGCGGCGCCGACGGCGTAGTAGAGCTCGCCGACGGTGGCGCCGGACTCGACCCACGCCTCAGCACGTGCCGGGTCGACGTGGATGGCCCGGAGAGCGGCGAGGTCCAGCACCGCGAACGGCTCGTTGTACTTGTGGAGGTGGACGGAGGCGTAGGACAGGCCCTCGTAGTCGTGGCCGCCGCTGCGCACGCGGACGCGGACGCCGTGGCGGCGGCCGCAGCGCACAGTGGTCTGCACGTGGGCGTGCTCGGTGGCCGCGATGATCGCTAGAGGCTTGGAGGTGTCCGGCAGGATGTAGCGGAGGTTCCGGGCGGTGGACAGCAGGAGGGCAGAGTAGGCCGGGGTTGCCGGGGTATGGATGAGGCCAGACGGGATGTCCGCGGAGAGGCAGCCAAGGAATTCATCGATTGCAGTTGCAGTGGAAGCTAAAGAGGGCGTGTTTTGACCCCAGAGGATGCAGCAGAGGGTTAGGACAAGGTGTAAAAATGTCGTCCTCGGTGTCCTTGCCATGATTGATGCACGAGTGGCAACTATGGCTGTGAGCGGGAGATGCGTGCTACGGATATAGAAGGCGGCAACTATATATACAGTTGAAATGAAGCATCATCTATCATATATAGTTGAAGGAGTGGTTCCACAACTTTTTGGCCAATAAGTTCCGTACAAGAAAAAGATAAACGGTGGAGGAAATCAACTTCGCAAAGTTATTAGAAGAACAGTACCAAGAGTTCAAAATATGTTTTATGTCTAATCTCACCTATACTAATCCACTTCACCGGTTCACCCACATTGCAGTCAAGCTCCATATCCCCAGTGCTACTGCGTATTGCCTACGCCTACCTTCGCTGAACCATTTTTGGAAAACAGAACCATTGTACGTGCTGGGCTGTTTTGGTTTCCTCGTTTGGTAGAGTTCCTGCAAAAGATGCTGCCACTATTTTAGTTATTCAGTAACTTTTGTTCGCAACATATTCCAAATTACAGGGACATGTCTTTTTTTATGTTGCAAAAGCCAAAGAGAGAAAGATCTTTTTGTTAAGTGAATTACTCAACATTCTTCAAAATGTTTATTTGCCATTTTTATGAACAATTGGGCCGTCTAGTAGCACAGGCAAAGTGGGCGACAGAACAGGGCCCCCAAATTTGTAGGGGCCCCAATTTCTAATTACCTTGGTTAATTTAGTAAGTGAAAAAAGTCCCAACAATCCCATTAGGTGAGTGTGGCAGATCCTGTTGGGTTGGTTGAACTTGTATCCTTAAAAGTGATCTCATATTCGAAAAAATGACTTTGCTGGCCTGTTTGTGTTCTCCGAGAACCATCCGCCCTTTGCACCTTGACATGGGCGCATGGCAACTTATCATACATTAGCGAACAATTGTCTTACATTTCAGCAGCGAGTGCGTATCACCTGCAAGTGCCGATCACCGAAATGCCGACATCCTCATCGCTAGCAAATTGCTGTCAACCTGAGGACTTTCATCTTCCTATCAGAGCTTATATCCTTCTATGTTAATAAGCATCTAGCTAGTTATATAAAAAAGCACCTAGCCCTAAGCTTACTCGAATTTATTAATTTTAAGGCCCAATGTGCATTTCGCACTGGGCCCTCAAATCTATAGAGACGGCCATGGGCAAGCTCCCGGTGCATCGAAGCAGGTTATCGTGTTGAGGTTGCTCATGGTCTTGGCTATGGTTAAGTTTTCCATACACCACACTGACTATGGGTAGAAACTCAATCCATCACAAAGTAACTGGAGACGGGATTTAGAACATTTGAGAACAGGCTCGACCGGGAGATAAATGGAAGAAGAAAGGCCCGACTTTGAAGTTTGAGGTTAACTTGTTGGTCATTTCGTAATCCTTTTGTAACATATCTATTTCACACATGTAGCACGGTTCTTATGAGAAATAGTCAAATGCCCATTCATTAATTTAGAAATTACCTATTATCCTTTGGAGAATAATAAGCGTAGAATTATCATGATATAAATAACAATATAATGATATAATAATTACATATGCATGATAATAGAACATTAGGGAAAGAGAAAGATATATTAGAAATGATCTCAATAGTCCAGGTACACAATCATATTGAATACCACTGCATGCATAAGTAAAAAATCCAAAATGACTAACAGAAACCAATCTAAATTCCAATTATTGTTTTTCATATAATTAAGATAAAAATAAAAGTGATCTCCCTTTTATGATGGATTGAGTTTAATGAGATAATTTAATGGATACAAGGCATAATATAAAAGGTTCAAATTGCTATTTTATAAAAAGTGTGGTAAAATTCCTAAATTAATATAATTGCAGCGAAAGGAAAAATACTAGAGAGAGATCACAATAATCGATATTAATAGTCATATTGAATCCAATACATGCATCAAGAAAATGAGAGATACGAGGCAGAAACAAATATAAACTTCAATAATTTGTTTCCATTTAATTAAGATAAAAAGAAAGCGGTCACCCATCAATATGACTCATACAAGATATATATGGCGGAGAACTGCGCTTCCAACTCATCGGATGTCATCGAAAAATTGAAGAAAATGATGAAACCAGGAGATGGGGAGCGGCGGAGTGGTGTGATTCTTGTCGGGCGTCTGTCCTGGTTTATAGAGGGCGGACGAGAGGAGCCTGGCCGGCGTTTGCGTTTAATGTCGGCCCACTTGTGAACGGACATGTGGCCGGAATAGCTTTCCCGGCTTCCACACACGGTTAATGGAGGCGTTTGAATGAGGCGAGGAGCCGTGTTTAGCCGGGCATGCAGCGGGCAGTGCCATCGGCCGATGCGCCGCTTCAATGGCGGAGGCAGTGAGAGGTCGCGTCTGTCCTGAGCCGTCATCATTGTTGAACAGCGCGCTCTACAACGGCAAGAACGCGGGCACCTGGCGCCGGGCAGGAATGTGTGTGTGCGAGGGCGGAGGGGTTTGGGTGGGCCAGGACGGTTAGAAGTGGGCATAACAGCGGCACGGACTCCCGCAAACCCCCTCCGCATTTGTCTCAGTTTACTTAAGAAATCGTGTCCGGATCGCTCTAATAAAGTATGTACGTATCGACACGTACACGGTGCGGATAGCGGTCTGGACGGCTGTTTGAGGTTTGAAGGTCAGCATTGGAGATACCCTAGGAAAGTATGTATCCGTTGACACGTATTCTTGCTTCAAATAAATATAGTAAACAAACGTGTAAGGGTATGCATGTCAAGTTTATCACAGGTCTGCCTTCATTGGCAGCAATTTATTGGAGTTGTAAGAGCAACTCTGACGCGCCGATCCATTTCGTTCGCGCGTGTCTGTTTGGATCATCACGGGTAGAAAAGTCGGCCCAATACGTCAACCCATTCCAGGCCCTAATTTGAGCCTCATTTGCGTTGGCGCGGACATGAAACGGACACGTGTGATGCACGAGTACTCCTCCCCTGGCCCGCGAGTCGGTGGCACAATGATCATCATTTCCCTTCACTTTTTCCAAAACCCTCCCACCCGCTCGCGCTCCCAGCCATGGATGACGACGCGCCAACCATCGATGCCGCCGCCGGCCTCGTCACCCTCGCCTCGTCCGGCCTCGCCTCCGCAAGACCGCGGCGCAAGAAGAAGAAGAAGAAGAAGAAGAAGAAGAAGAAGAAGAAGAAGAAGAAGAAGAAGAAGAAGAAGCTGACGCCCAAGGAGTGGCCCGTGCAGTCGGCGAAGAGGGAAGTACAGGAGGCACGTGGTGTCACAAGGGACGAAGCGGCGGCCGTCGCCGCCCTCTCTGCCGCCGCACAGCAGGAGGAAACCAACATCTTGTGTCGGCCGCTCGCAAGTGCGCCGGCATAAACTGTGTGCTGTTTTTTTGGAGCTGACATTCCGGCCGTGGCATGACGCCGGCATGAGCTTTGGGCGATGCATGACTACAACATGATCTATGGCCGCAACCCTTTTAAAATTTATGTGTGAACATAAAATGGGTCGCATGTGTTGGACGCATGGTCGATCTATATTAAAAAGAGGGCGGACGACAAGCGGGCGGTAGAACCAAACAGAAAAAAAAACGGACAAAGCCAGCGTTCATGTTCATTCGCCTCAACGCGTTGGAGGTTCTCGGACTTGTCTTGCACTCGTGTATGCGTGTCCCACCTGCGCCACCTGCACACCTCCCAAGAGTACGCCACCTTCCCGTGAAGAAAACTAGCAGGCTGAAGCTATACTAGCCTTTCACTTGACTCCCAATAGGCCAATAGACTAGCCGGTACAGACGCATGCATCTGTTTTGACAGTCTGGAACTCTGATGGTAAGGCAAAATAATTTAGAAGCAAGCTACATAAGTGATATTACAAAAATGCTAGAGAGCTTAAATGATGTATGCAAATCGATAGGTAGTTGAAGATCCAGAAACCAAATTGAAGAAGATGCAAATGCTACAACCGGCCAGAAATGCAGCTACAGGACATTGACAACGTAGTTTTTCATAATGTGGAATGCCGTGTTGCAGCGGAAAACAAGGGTCTCCACATACACTTTTTTATTTCCAATAATGTGGAGTATGCCTCTTCACGCTGACTAATACTGGCGGTGTTCTTGCCCAATACGGCTGTTTCACCCGCTAACTTCTCAATCCAGTCTCTATGCATTGCGTGTGTGGAAGGCCTGGTACGTGGGGCCTAAGAAAACCGATGTGGTGACATTTTGGCATATGTTTCTTTCTTACCTACCATGTGGAATATGTCACATGCAGTCGTGTTGTTGTTTGCTTGTGTTCGGTCCACTGCTTACGGCTGTGTGGCACTAGAAGCCTCATCCCGAGAATTTCAACGTTTGATGATACGTAACTTCTA